CCAGGGTTTCAATCGTTGAATCATATATCTTATACTAACTACACGTGGATCCAACAGTTAAAACATCCGACGGGATGGTACCGTAACGAGATCGTAGCATTTCCGTGATCATTTTGAATTGTCGATTTAGGCTTTTAGAGTATTGTTTGGGGTGCATTTATTGTCTCTATAGTTTAAGGTATTAGCTAAATGGCCCCTTATCTTACATGTCAATTGTTTTTGAGGCACAAATAAATTGGTTCTAACTAACCAGTTCACCATAATAGTTATGTATATCCAACACTGGTGTTAGTGTTACGGTTTTTTAGTGGTTATAGGTAGTTATACTTTTATAAATTTATAATAAAAATATATATTTGTATTATGAAATGTGAAACTTATAACATTTGACTATATTGTTTTTTTTAAATAAATTTATTAAAAAAATGATTATTTAATGATTAGGCCGACTTATAGCACCTTTAACTGGACTTCTATAGAAATTTGGCACCACTAATTGGCTTGAAATGTTTTCACCCGTGAAAACACTGTTTGAAAAAAAAAAAAATATAATCTTACACAATTTTCTTAATGAAACTCAACGAACCGCGTGATAATATTGGGTTGACTTTAATATGGCTGTAATTTATAGTTTTTTATACAACTATAGTATACTGTATTGGAGCAGATCTAACGTTAGGCACTAAACCACATAATGCACGACATTCAATTTTTTTTTTTTAAAAAAAAAATATATAATAGTATTAAATAAATTAAATTTCGTTTATCCGAAATAGTCAAAAGTTATATTATTGAGTAATTTATTACTAAATGTAGGCTATGTAATGTAACTCCACTGGTATTATTATTTTAAATGAAGCACTACGTACTGTATTAAATTCAAATTAATCGGTCAGCTTATATTATATATATATACCACATTCGCGGCAGGATTTGCGTCACTCTCTAATGTGGATAACTTCTGCTGGCTGTTGAGCTGCCTCACTAACTCTAAAATATCAACATGTAAACAATTAAACATAAATAGGTGAATTTGGGTAATATGTCCAGCAAGTTTGAACAAAGGGTTAATTGCACGTAAAATCCTTACATTTTGTGTGATTGCAAATAAAATTCAATATTATTATCTTTGAAAATAAATACCAAGTTTTTATTATGTGTTGTAAATTTGTCTCAAAACAATTTCCCGGCCAAACATTGTTGACGTGTCCGATCAGAAATCTTACGTGACACTTATGAGGCTTGTGTGACATCAATCTTTGAGGCTCTTCACTATTTTTTGCCACATCATATGCTAACAAATTAACCTAAATTAGAGTTTAGTACCAATTGAAAAAATAGGATTTTATCACCATGTTTTTTGCTCCATAATCTTCATAAAAATCGAGTTCTTCTACCACATTTGAAAAAAAAAAATATATTTGTAGCAATTCTTCACCCCAAAATTGAGTTCACCCCCGACATTCTGAATATATTTACGACCTCACCTCCAAATTCTGAAAAATTAGAGGGAGCAATTTCAGAGTGATTTTTAGACGATTTTAGTATTCTGATCGGACACGTCAACAAGATTGGCCGAAAAATGATTTTGAGATAAATTTGCAACACATAATAGTGGTTTGGTATTTATTTGCAAAGATAAAAAAAAAAAGTGTG